TGAGACACTTCTTTTATGGATGGGCACTTTTTATTTAACTTATTTTGGACTGATGCATACAACACCCGCTGAGTGCCATGAAACAGCTTGAAAGATCAAAGACAATTTTTAATATAACTCCGACTGGATTCGGGTGAGTAATTTATGGGCTAATTTAAATTTTTGGGTGAACTAACCCTTTAATAAGTTCTTCATGATTAAGCTTAAGCGGTCAAGGGGTTCATGCGCATGATAGGGCTGTGCGATATTGAAGAAAAATGCGATATTCGATATGCGATACGATATTGCTTAAAGTGTGTAAAATCAATTTAAATGATATTTTAAAATATTTACCAATTTAACACAGCAAAATAGAAACTCCCATTCACAAAATTAAAATCACAAATAATAGTACTGATGATAAAGAATGGGTTGATTGTTAACAACTTTCGTTTCCATATAACTATAAACTATGATAAAAGTTCATCAGCATGCATTGAATAATCCCATGTTGTAGCGCAAAAAAATAAAAAAATAAAAAATATATTGTGACCAAATAGGGATGTAACGATTACCGGTTTGACGATAAATCATGATAAAATTCCCCACGGTTAGTATTACCATTTCATCTTTTAATTATCATTAAAACCGTATTAGATTACCGCGATTTGAACAACTCGTGATAAATAAATACTGTCCAACATAAAGCACAGTTTTAAATAACAGTCTCACGTGCGCACAGCACACAAGAGTTTCGTTTTGAGTGAAAACAGGGTGGAAAAGCTGGGAGGTTTTAAAAGAGTGCTAAGGGAATTATACAAATGAATATATGAATGAATTAATTATATGAATGTACCTCTGAAGGTTCTGACTGTCTTCAGAAACGATTCGATGGCATTTTGTTTTCATCTTCACTCCATGTAATGCCTAAAGGAAGTGTTCTTAATCGCAATACTGCTGTGTCCACGGAGGTTAAGGGAAACAGCTCTAATTCAGCTTTATAAAAGTTAAGAGTCAACCACTCCTACCTGAAACGGCTCGTTCTAACACGCCCCCACATATCTGCGTCAATCTGGGAAGATTTGCATAACGCCGCCCAAATGTTCACGCAAAGAAAAAAGGCATAACTTTTATTCGCGCTGTAGTATTGTTGCCGCCGCCATGTCGTGAAGGCGCTGTGTTTTCGTTGTGAAAGCGAAACTACTTTTTTTGGCCTTCCAAAAGAGGATGATATCTGCTTCGTCATGCCTGGAGCTAATCCGTGCTGGTTGCTGAGGAAATACTACAACTTTGCGCTGTGGATCGCCAGATCAGCTTTCAACGTGGACGAAGCGGAGTCCAGCCCGGGGTCGTCACATGTGGTTGCCGCAAGCCTCCTTCGTCGAATCCGCCAGCTGCACCATTCTCAAGCCTGCTCACTCTAGCCCTCCAGCCGTTCCTCACTCTAGCCCCCGGCCTCTGCTCACTCTAGGCCGCCGTGTGTGACGCTGTGCTTCATTGTGAAAGCAAAACTACTTTGTTTGGCTTTCCAAAAATGGACACGACTAGAAATCACGCGCTTCAGGTGTGAGTCAGACAGCAAGACGAGACGGCAAAGAGTTGTTTTCTGCAACTTATTGCACTTAACTCTTTTTAACGTCAAGCAATTCTCTGCTATATGCGTCGAACTAAAACTTTGACCTTTTGCAACGTTTTGATTTAAGTAGCCTATTATTAAAATTATAATGATATTGCATGCCGTTGCGATATGCATATTGCGACATTTGTGAAATTTCGATAATTTCGATATATCGTGCAGCCCTAGCGCATGACCAGCCTAAAACAGAGAAGTATTTTACCCGATTCCGTGTTCAAATTGTTTAGTGATATACTATACTTGGATACTCTCACTTATTAAAATTAATGTCATCACTTGGTTTTGAGTGTTTTTTTTTTATGATTTATGCACTTTACATTGCATTTAAGTGTAAAATAATGCTCTTTAAAATAGTTTTTTTTTAGTTCTTTTATACTTCAAAAGTTGATGTAATTGTTAAGAAATGCAGGCTCACTGTAATGAAACAGTAAAAAAAACCACCCCCAACTTTAAAAAAAATTAATCAAAGGTGGATCTGTTTCGTCAGCTGTTTGTGTGGTCAGGGATTTGTGTGAGTATAGCAGTTCCTGATCTGCAGTGTAGGCATTTTCTATCAGTGCTTGTTTAATGCATTAATTAAAAAAAAAAAAGTTAGCTTGAGTACAAAAAGTTTCCATTCATGTATATGTTAACATGCTGATCAAAGAGCCTTTTGTTAGCTTTACGAACTAGTGGTATTATTTTGTGAACATGCACAACTGAATGGGCAGATCATTATTTTCAGTTATAGAATGTTGACCTAAGGTATGTGTAATGTCTACAAATCTTTATATAAATCTCTGTCGTCTCTTCACAGCGTGAGTGCATCTCTATCCACGTTGGTCAAGCTGGAGTCCAGATTGGCAATGCCTGCTGGGAACTGTATTGTCTTGAGCATGGCATCCAGCCGGACGGGCAGATGCCCAGCAACAAGACCATTGGAGGAGGTGATGATTCCTTCAACACCTTCTTTAGTGAGACTGGAGCTGGAAAGCACGTCCCCAGGGCTGTGTTTGTAGACCTGGAGCCCACTGTCATTGGTAAGAGAATGGGACTTGATTTAAGTTATGATAATTGTGTGTGTCAAAGTGCTCCGTTTGTTAAACATTTCTTTTGACATGTCTGTCCAGATGAGGTGCGCACTGGGACATACCGTCAGCTGTTCCACCCTGAGCAGCTCATCACAGGAAAGGAAGATGCTGCCAATAACTACGCCCGTGGTCACTACACTATTGGAAAATAAATCATTGACCTGGTGCTGGACAGGATTCGCAAACTGGTAAGTCATTAAGTTACAACGCCTTTGTAGTTAAATGGTGTTTAATTAAAAGGCTAAAATGCTTGATTGCCTTATTAACATGAATCATGACTTTCAAGCTGACCAGTGCACAGGCCTCCAAGGTTTCCTGGTGTTCCAAAGCTTTGGTGGTGGAACCGGTTCTGGCTTCACCTCTCTGCTGTTGGAGCATCTGTCTGTCGACTATGGCAAGAAGTCTAAGCTGGAGTTCTCCATCTACCCTGCTCCTCAGGTCTCCACCGCTGTGGTAGAGCCTTACAACGCCATCCTGACCACCCACACCACCCTAGAGCACTCTGACTGCGCCTTCATGGTAGACAATGAGGCCATTTACGATATTTGCCGTAGGAACCTTGACATTGAGCGTCCTACTTACACCAACCTCAACAGGCTGATCAGTCAGATTGTGTCCTCCATCTCAGCCTCCCTCAGGTTTGATGGTGCCCTCAATGTCGATCTCACCGAGTTCCAGACCAACTTGGTTCCCTATCCTCGTATCCACTTCCTATTGGCTACCTATGCCCCAGTGATCTCCGCAGAGAAGGCTTACCATGAGCAGCTCTCTGTGTCTGAAATCACTAATGCTTGCTTTGAGCCAGCCAATCAGATGGTGAAATGTGACCCGCGTCACGGCAAGTACATGGCTTGCTGCCTGTTGTACCGTGGTGACGTGGTGCCCAAAGATGTGAACGCTGCAATCGCCACCATCAAGACCAAGTGCACCATCCAGTTTGTGGACTGGCGTCCCACTGGTTTCAAGGTTGGCATCAACTACCAGCCTCCCACTGTGGTTCCAGGTGGTGATCTGGCTAAAGTGCAGAGGGCCGTGTGCATGCTGAGCAACACCACAGCCATTGCTGAGGCCTGGGCTCGTCTCGATCATAAGTTCGATCTGATGTACGCCAAGGGTGCCTTTGTGCACTGGTATGTGGGTGAGGGTATGGAGGAGGGCGAGTTCTCAGAGGCCAGAGAGGACATGGCTGCCCTTGAGAAAGATTATGAGGAGGTTGGAGCTGAGAGTGTGGAGGGAGAAGGTGAGGGTGAAGAATATTAGAAAAACTTTTCACTTCCACTGCCTGTTCGGTTTCCTGTCGATTGTCTTTTTTTTTTTTTCATTTTCCAGTTGTCAACTGGCTAAAAGGTCAATCTTGAATGAAATAAAATGTTATGTTTACATGTTCTCCTTTGTTCTTTCTTGGCTAATGACCCTGTACTTCATCCACTTTTTAGTAATACTTTTTTAAAAACACTTTTATTATGTAGTATTTTTATTGTCTAGTAATTGCTCTTTGTTGCTTTGTTTTGATTAGAGCTAAATTTAACACCAAGTGAGCTTAATTTCTTTTAATACTTAGTTCTTAATGCAATGTTGAACATGAAGTTTGGAAGTCTGCATGCATTTTAAAGTGTTAAAATTATTCCACAGGTGGGAAAACATTTAATATTTATCAAAACATAACTTGCTTAACCTGTTAATCAACTAAAATCCTCAAATATGTTTAAGTTTTGGTCTGTAATATTCTTTCTGATTTCCTTAGATTCATGCAATTTTGAGTGTAGTGTTAGCTGTCTGCTTTGTGTTGAATGCAGAGGGCAGTATTGCTTTACAAATGGCTGTTTTAGTCTCAGTGGTGCTCACTCTGGCTGATGTGGAACAGTGCAGCAGGTTGATTAAATGTTAATTGACCAGTCTATCTTTCTTGTAGGCTTTCTATTGACAATGCTAATGTACAAGTGTTGACGACTTGCCACTTTATCTGAGTGAAATATACGTATCATGTTTCAAAGTAAATGGTGTTAGAAGAGGCCTGTGTACCACCCTAATCTAAAATTGGGCGTGGTATTCAGACCCTGTCAGGGGAGAATATTTCAAGCTGGTGGACAGGTGGAGTTTAAATATATATATTCTTTGTTCCCCCTTGTCTGCCTCTCCTTAGACAAGAGAAGATACAGCATTGTATTGGTTTGGGGCTGTAAATGTAGAATACACTGCAGATAATGGAGAATGTAATGCAACAGAATGCATGTTCTAATGCTAACATTCAAAAGTAAAGAGAATGACAGTTGTACAGTCGAAATGCATTTATTTGAATTGTGTGGTGCATTTTCTTTTATTGTAATGACTCCATTCATGATTGTGAGTGCTGAAACAAGAAACCTAACAGTCAGGTGAAGAGGGAAATTTGCAGGAAAACCTCAAGTAATGCAATGTATTAATAACAATGCTGAATACTATGTCTTTATTAGCTAAATGTAATGCATTTGAAAGTCATATAACGGATACTAACTGAAGAACTTATTTAAACATTTAATGTTGCAAAGTGAGTTCTAGTGATTTTAGACATTTAAGAGGCATATGAGAAACAAGTGACTAATATCTGTATTCTGGGTGAATTAGGACTTGTAAACACTTAATCAGATAAAACGTTAACACCCCTTTATGTATTCAATAAATAACATTTTGCACAGTTAACAATATTTTCTATAAGACCTTTGCAAATTTGAGGTAATACACTACTCTATGAGGGTTAAATTAGCTAAAACCATGAACTGTTTCTGATAATGTCCATAATTTAGAAATTTACAAAAACACTCAAATGTGCACACATGCATAAAACATTGGGACATGTACATTTGCACAATCTGGTTTGAACATTCTTAAATCTCTTGCATACTGTTTTATGACTAATATAGGCAAAACAAAAGGGTGAAGAATCATCACAAATTCATAGTACAACAGTTAGTAAGCCACAACACAATTTTTTCCATTCAGTGAAGAGGTATTTTTTGATTCTTGTTTTAAAACTCTCACGCCAACTTGTGGAGACCCTCTTTACAGGGGTGCTTTAGCTTAATAAAATCAACCATGTTACATCTTCATAGACCTCATTTTCTAATTAGAACGTTCTCATTACAACTTTTGTCTTGTCTTTTTGTTGCAAGTATTCTATTGTATTGTGGAATACTTCTTTCATTATGGAAAATCCTAGAAGGTTTTATAGCAATTACATTTTTTTTCAGCCATGTTGCTCTTTATCATGCAGGGAAAACTTTAAGACATTAAATGTGAATTTACATACAGCATCTGAGATTTTGATGCATGACACTACCTGGTGTTAAAGCATTAGTGCACTGGTGGATTTTATATTTGTTATAGCCATTGAAAAGAAAAAACAGGATTGACCCATTTCGTAATGTCATAACTATTTGTTTATTCTCCAAAGATGAATGTTACATGCCAAATGACATGTTCTGCTCTATAGAATATGTGATGTGATTGTGAATGTACTTAACATCAGTTAGCCCTTATAGATGATTCAGTTTCACCTGCATTAGACTTCAGCAGAACTGTTAAATGCAGCAGTGCCTTTCACAAACAAAGCAAATGTGCACAAATGCTTTATTCTCTAGCGTTCAGGCACTGAGACGCACTGATCATTTAGGAGCACTCAGTCCAGTTACAGATGACAACCAACTTTAGAGTAGCTTAGGAGGGCTGGTCTGAAACTGGATAACGCAACAACAGAGCCGTTAATGGAGCGCAGTGCATTCTCACAGCTCCCCACGGTAGTTTCTTTCACCTGGATGGTTTTGGCTAGAAAAAGGTGTGTGAAATAATACCCACAGTGATTTTACAAGGGGAAAAAAACAGTTGCACTTAATGAAATTCACTCAAGAAAAAATGCAGGATAAGTGGTGGCAGCTTACCTTAGGCTTTGTCGTCTCAAGACAAGATGTGAACGAAAAGAATTGCCAAACCAATGTTCAGGAATATAACCATGCAGATCATAATTGTGTTTGGCCCCTACGAAAAAAAAGTGTTCATAACTGTTAGTGCCTATTGTGTAAAGTAAAATAATCAAATTATGGTGCTCTAGGTTGTATTTACTTGTGCAATTGCTCAAAGGCCACCTTACATCAGAGTTACCTCCAACCCTAACACAGCTGAACCAGCAAATGAAGTCTTCAGGGCTACTGGAAACTTCCAGGCAGGTGTGCTGGAGCTAAACTCAGTAAGAATGTAGCCCTCCAGGAGCAGGGCATTGCTGCCAAGGTGTCCAATCCTGCTCCTGGAGGGCTACATTCTTACAGAGTTTAGGGTCCACTATCCTACAGAGTTTAAAGTCCAGTCCTAATTAAACACAGCTACACCAACTAATCAAGGTTTTTGGTAATGCTAGAAATTTACCGGCAATTGTGTTTTGGTAGGTTGGAGCTAAACTCTGCAGGACTGGATACCCCTGCATTAGAGGAACCAAAGAAATAAAATGCCTATTCCAGGGGTTCTCAACTCTGGCGCTCGAGGTCCACTTTCCTGCAGAGTTTAGCTCCAACCCTAATCAAACACACTTGAACAAGCTAATCAAGGTCTTTGGGATGACTAGAAAGTTACTGGCAGATGAGTTTGATCTAGGTTGGAGGTAAACTCTGCAGGAAAGTGGACCCCAAGGGCCTGAGTTGAGAGCCCCTGACTTATTTAATTTACAAGAGGTAGGGCTTTTTACACATGGCAAATAATTTTTTTCTTCTGAAAACTGATTGGTGGGACCTATGCTCAATGAGCCACGAGATGCTGCTGTGATGCAATGCAAAGTTGGGTTTCTGATAGACTGCAAGGGGCTTTGTGAAGGTGAGCATTTATCATTTTGATGGTTCAGCCTTGTATAGATATGCCTGTGAAAAATGCGGTCAGAGGACCGAAGCCAGGTCAGAATTTCAAGGAACACAATCTGTTGGTGTTCCAGAGCAGTGTGTTCCAGTCCACTCAAGAGCTGTTTAGAAGAATGAGCTTTCTCATAACATGGCCCTTTGGGAGGACATCTGAAGCTAGGATGGTGGGCCACTGTACAATAAACTGAGATTCATTGATTAATGAAGGAAAACAGGGCTCTGATTATTCAAAATGCAAAAATCCAGGGACAGTTAGAAGCAGAACAGGTTCAGAAAGGGTTTTGAGGTGGGAGTCGTGGGACAGAGTGAAACAAAGGGACCAAGGAATGTAATGTTTTCTTTTTTCCTTAGGAAATCTAACAAGACTTATTTGTAGTTATGTACATGTAGAGATAGGTTGTAAAAAGCGATTTTGTTGAATTTGTTAGGCTATGCAAATCTCAAATATGTGTGTCTGCAATCTTTGGGATTTAAAAATCAATTGAAATGACCAATTGAGATTTTACTTGTATTCAGAATACCAAGGTTTGATTTGTTATCCTTACCTCATCTAGCTCCAGAGGTTCTTGTCTCGTTTCGCTAGGGGCTTTCAAAATAGACTTCTGCCTCGTCTCAGTTTTGGCCTCGATCTTGGCAACTGGTTTAGCAACCGGCTTGACCACAGGTTTAGGCTCTGGTTTAGGCACTGACTTGGGCTCAGGCTTTGGTGCAGCTTTTGGGGCAGGGCTTGGTTCTCGTTTTGGTGAAGGTTTAGGCTCCATTCTGTTGGTTAATTTCTTCTCCTCCCTGACTTCTGTCCTAGACTCAGGCTTGCTTTCTGTCATTGAAGCTGGGCGCTCATTTACAGGCTCCCTTGTTGCATCTCTGTTTTTGACTTCAGCTGGCTTTGGCTCTGGTGTGACTGCTTTGGGGTACAGCTTGGGGGCAGGGCGAGGTGGTGGTTCTTCTTCGTTGGTGGTGAGGACGAGATTGGTTCTTACTGGCGTAGCAGCAGGGGCAGGTTCTGCTACTTTTGACTCCGAGTCCATTTTCTGCAAAGATTTGATTTCCAGGTCTGAACCCTGCTCTGCTTTGGCGCTCTGGCGGCTAGGGGTACGGGATGGGATCTTACTGATGGGAGCAGAACGTTCCTCAGGAGCGGCATCTGGAGCGGAAGCAATGGCAGGAGTGGAAGATGGGGTGGTGGGTCGACTACTTGGCCTACTACCTGCTCGACTGCTGCCTCTGCTACCGCTGCCTCGACTGGTCTTGTCTCCATTCCAGCTGCCAGGGCTCAAGAGGTTGGGATCTTCCCTGCTGGGTGCCTGAGGGACGATGACTGGAGTGGGTGAGGGGGTGTGTGCAGAGGTGGAGCTTGGTCTTAGACTTTCCAGCTCATGCATGAAGGGGCTCTCCGGGGGTGTTGGTATGGAATCTTCAGCTAACAAGGGCTCGGGCATCCCTGTATCTGCATTCTCATTGCTCTGAGCAACCTCCTGCAGGGCTCGTTTTTTTATATACTCAGGACCTGAGGGACACCATGTGATGCATGTTTTATTAGAATGTAGGTTTAATAAGTGATATTGATACTGGCTGATTATAATTTAGCACTGACATATTACACGCATACAATCATTTTTAAATGATAGGTTCAAAGGTGCACTAATAACAATGTTTTGCAGTGTTTCTAAACAGCCAATAGAACTGCATGAGGCTCTCTGCTGCCCCCACTAGCTCTGGAGCCGACCGATGCCCAACATAAGTTCATATTCTCTGGAAATTGTTGGAGGTTGAGGTAAATTTGTACAGTAGACATTTACAGTTACTTTTTAAAAAACATAAACAATGGTCAAAAGTGCAATTAATTTCTTGAGGTGTACATTTTTTAAATATTTGTTATTCTGATTACTTAAGCCGTGTAAACTTTTTTTTCTGCCATTCCTGATAATTGCTCTCTCAGATTCATGTTCAAAATATAAAAAAGTAGATGATAGAATAAACTGCACTATAACCAATTTATCATGCCAAAATAAATAGCTTAGTGTTATTTTAGTTTTGATTATTTTGATTGATATCATCTATCATTTTCAAAAAAGAGCAAAAGAACCCTATAATGAATTTTTATCATTGAAACACAAGGCCAGTGTGTTGAATAGCATGTTCAGTTTCAGGCTGACAGGTAGCAGACAGAGGCCACAAATGCAAACAGTCAGGGACGGAATAATAATTCCGCACTTTAAGAAGAAAGATGAAATGTGATCACCTCTTCAGAACAAATGCAGGCAAACATCCCATGGCTTATTATTAAAATAAACAATGAACTATAATTATGCATTTTGTTATGCTCGTCTACAGCTTCGTGTAAGATTTTGGAGACAGACAGTGCCAAAATAAAACCATCAAGAGATTAGCAGTGCCCTTCAGATGGACAAACACAGGAACATGGTGAGCTGCTGAGGGGCTTGTGTTTTAGCAATCTAATCCTGTTTCAGACACTCATAGATGTTTACATGTGGGGTTTAGGAACTCAAGACATTAACAGCACTTAGACCGTTCTGTGATGAATGCTGCCGTACTGTAAATCTGACATTATGTCTGGATTAACAAGCATTCAGCAAGCATCCAGACTCTCACTGGACCGGGAGGGTCTGAACCAGCCCGTTACTTTGGCCTCTGTTGATTATATATTTAGCAAACAATGAAGTCTTCTACCTACCTGGTTGATGGAAGGAGGGAGAGAGCTCTCTGGCAACTACACGAGCGATACTAGACTCATTGTTAGCGGCTATGGCGGCCTGTTCTGCGGCGTCTCCTTTGCTTTTGGCATGGGCCGTTCTGTGAAGAGGGAAAAAGGCATGTAATCAGTGGTATTAAATCAAATACTGGTAAATGCTGAGAAATCCAGTTAGTTTTGTGGATTTGATATCAGATATCAAAATGTTTAAATATTGTTTACCTATATTTTTGACCAATTTGGCTCTTTTTTTAACTTAAAAAATTGCATGCAGTTACATTAATTTCTTTTAAATCTCAATTAATTTATATTTAAAAGGTGTTCTCATTTCTATTCTGAATGTTGCATAATTCTGCTGACATTGTTCCAACCATTTTTCTTGCTGAAATATTCTTTTTTTTTTATTTCCCCAAAAAAATTCAGATGTTTTTAACCACTTACAGTGCATTCAAGATAGTTTGTTTATATATATAATCAATTGTTAGTAACATGCGCTACCAGCTGAACCATAAGGACCAAGCGTTTTTATAGCATTAATAAAACCAAAACAGAAATTCATTAGGACTTTAACACCTGTCTACAGTACAACAGATGCATACAGTAAATGTAATATGTTGTGGCAGTGTTTCAGAGGTGAACTATTAAAGGAAAGTTCTGTTTATTTCTGACATTAGATTAAATAGTTTACTATCGTAATGTGGCAAAGATACTGCCAGTTCTAATATAGTTGGTTATGTATGTTATGAGAGGAAAAGCATGGGCGTGAAACTTTTTTTTTTTTTTTTGTAGAAGACAGATCTATTTCTCCATTTTCAACTTGTATATTGCTAGTAGAACCAGAGCAACCCAAGACATCCCGTCTCGTCTTTATTTGGAGAGATGGGTTAGCAGTTGTCTGCACTATAAAAAGCAATGTTAATATCCCCTCAGCACTTAAGAATCCATTGGTTGTTTGCTGACAGATCTGTAATATAGATGGCATTTTCTGCTGTTTGGACAACTGAACCATGCTTTTAAAATGTGTTGTAGTGATGTTAGACTAATGAAACCCAACCCGTAACTTGCTAAATGAGTACTACTGAAACATTCTGAGCCATAGGTTACATAATTTTTGCAACATTTATGCAACTTTTGAGACATTTTGCAACATGTAAATCGATAACAAATCTAGTTGAACTATTAGTAGTGCTTCGCATGTGGGAATTTACTTTTTAATTCAGACTTTGGGTCTCATGACGAGTTCAAAGACCTGTTTATTAACATTTGAGATGAGAGTACTACCAGATAAGTAAAATGAAAAACATAAAACTTTATTGGTTGATTTTTGTTTAAGCTTTTTGTGATTGGTGTTGTCCCCCATCTTTTATCAGGTGACATATTTCATATCACATCCTGACATTTACATGACTGGTGATAAACTTTAACAGAGAGAAGGCAGAAAGAATTAATTCAATTAATGGATTAAAGAACTATCTTTTATATATATTTTTTATTCTTTAATGAATTAATTCAATAATTCACTCTTGCTGGTGAATGGTCATGAATGAGCTATATGTAATAGCAGGCTAATATAGATGTATTATCTGACCTAAATTCTCTCTAATCTTGGTTTTTCTTCACATTCATCAAAATAATATAAGATTGACAAGCATTATTCAGATGTATGTATGTACGCTTGTATACAGAAAAACGATATCTGTGTCAATGTCACTGAGAAAATATTTAAAGACACTAAAAAAAAACTACAAGACTTTATAGAGTCTTTATATGTCTAATCACTTTACGCAACCGGGTATCATGTACTCTGATAATCACTAATAAAATGAGCTGCCGTGTCTGAACTCAGGAATGAAGTAGGGTGTCCTGAGTTCAAAATAGCCCGAACACTTAAAGACACTGTACTGAGGGTGGCTGTCAGTGGAACTTTTAGAAAGTTCAGACCCTCTCAGTAGTATGTCATAGATATACATTTACAGTAATGTCTGCATTAAGTTCTTGGCAGATGCTTTCATAAATTCTTTCTGAAATTAATTTCCATAATCGGTAGTAAAGTTTTGAACCCTTTTGTAAACAACTTGGAATATTTCTTAATTTTGCCACACACCATTAAAAAAAGTGCTATGAATAGAAAATAATGTTTAATAGCATGCTTTCAACAAGTAACCTATTCCGTGTAGGATTGTATTGTTCTGCATAACTAGGTTGGTTGTTTGCTGACAGATCTGTAATATAGATGGCATTTTCTGCTGTTTGGACAACTGAACCATGCTTTTAAAATGTGTTGTAGTGATGTTAGACTAATGAAACCCTACCCATAACTTGCTAAATGAGTACTACTGAAACATTCTGAGCCATAGGTTACATATTTTTTGCAACATTTATGCAACTTTTGAGACATTTTGCAACATGTAAATCAATAACAAATCTAGTTGAACTTTTAGTAGTGCTTCGCATGTGGGAATTTACTTTTTAATTCAGACTTTGGGTCTCATGACGTGTTCAAAGACCTGTTTATTAACATTTGAGATGAGAGTACTACCAGATAAGTAAAATAAAAAACATAAAACTTTATTGGTTGATTTTTGTTTAAGCTTTTTGTGATTGGTGTTGTCCCCCATCTTTTATCAGGTGACATATTTCATATCACATCCTGACATTTACATGACTGGTGATAAACTTTAACAGAGAGAAGGCAGAAAGAATTAATTCAATGAATGGATTAAAGAACTATCTTTATATATTTTTTTATTCTTTAATGAATTAATTCAATAATTCACTCTTGCTGGTGAATGGTCATGAATGATAGTGAGCTATATGTAATAGCAGGCTAATATAGATGTATTATCTGACCTAAATTCTCTCTAATCTTGTTTTTTTTTCACATTCATCAAAATAATATAAGATTGACAAGCATTATTCAGATGTATGTATGTACGCTTGTATACAGAAAAACGATATCTGTGTCAATGTCACTGAGAAAATATTTAAAGACACTAAAAAAAACCTACAAGACTTTATAGAGTCTTTATATGTTTAATCACTTTACGCAACCGGGTATCATGTACTCTGATAATCACCAATAAAATGAGCTGCCGTGTCTGAACTCAGGAATGAAGTAGGGTGTTGTACATCTATATACCACCCATCTTCTCACTCATTTGCAGGATAGGCAACATTTATATCCCCTGAATGATCCAATGCCATTGCTGACACATTTCTTTTTGTAATCTCATCAAGAGCCCTTTTGTACTGGTTTACCAAATTGGAAAACAGGATTATATATATATATATATACACACACACACTCAAATATACTGATATATATGTATAAATATATCATTTTCTTTTTTCCCTACTTTCAAATCCCTATTTTTATTACAATATTTACATATAAAACAGATAATTATATGTATAAATATATTTGGTGATATGTAAGGGTTGTAAATTACGTCAGGTACGTCTGTGTGAGCGTCTAAGAAGCTGAGGATAGAAGAGGCTATCAGCTGTTGCATTCCCCTGTGATTGTGATATAGCAACAGTGCCTGTCCTTTTTTAGACAGGCCTCCTTTTCTGACACCAGACCCATGTGCGTCATTTACACCCAGTGCCATGGCCTCCGAGGAGTCTCGTCTTCCACACAAGACCCTCTACTGTTCTAAATACACTATGATTAGAGTAAAGGGGCTAACCGGCACCTGAACAAACTCCACGGCCACAGTTTTTTTTTTACTTTTTATCAATAGTGGAGGGCAAGGAGGTCTGTTCAGATACAGATAGGACAGGGAAGTTGCAGATAGGGCTTTGGATAAGGTAGCAGTAGCAAAATAAATATAAAATAAATAATACAATTTTATTTTAATCAAAGTTTATTCTAAGTTTTTTTATACTATTATTATTTTAATTAACTTTAATATTTTATTTTAATTTATTTTATTTCATTTCATTCAGTTACTTAATTTTGTTCAGTTATTTTATACTATTTTATTTTATTTTATTCTAAGTTATGTTATATCATTTATATTTTATACTTTTTTTTTATTTTACACAATTTTTTATACCAAGTTATTTTATACTGTTTTATAAAATGTTTATAGAATTTTATTTTATATAATACAGTTATTTCATACTATTTTATAACAATTTTATTTTATAATTTTTTTTATTTTATACTATTTTGTTTACTATTTTATTCTATACAGGAATTTAATAACATTTTTAATAAACCTGCTCTGGACCATGAAACTTGAGAAGGAAATACCTTAACCAACATATACTGCATTGCATGTTTCACCACCAAATTTATGCCAGTCATATTGTAAACAAAACATACACTTATCTCACTTTCACATCTAAATAAATAAATCATACACCATTCAGAAGCGGAATAAAAATGTTCCTGTTCTTATCCCCATTTTGACCTAGTATATTACTGAATGACAACAGAAAAGTTACTGCCAAGTTCACTGTAGACAGCTGTGTGTTGGTTTTGATTTCCAGTTAGCCTTTCTGATCTGTCTGGGTTGGTGTCAGAAGTCTGCCTTTTATTGCTGATAATGATAAGATCAGGTTTCTCTTCTACAAACAATGATTTGGCACTGGCTAAAACTTGAGAAGTGGCGTGGAGGTGTTTAGTCACAGTAAGCTCCTTATTTGAACAGTCTTGTATGTTATTCTGACATATAAATGTTTTGCTTATGTATAAGGAATGAGAATGTCTTTTTCCCCCCCTGAAACTTGTACTTTGATTCATCTGGTTTCAGTCTGCTGTCAGGTTGTCATCTTTAATAATCCTTAAATGAATTTTTATGGGATGAGCATCAACAGCAGCGAGCATCTGATGACTGAGAAGCCAAGGCTGTTTGTCTTTGGCTTGTGCATTTCCTTACAAGGAGGGAAGATTTTATCAAAGCCACTTCACCTGAAATTAGCCCGCTGTTTATAACTGTAAGCATCGCCATGATAAACTGCAGATGCTGTCAGAAGTGTGTGTCAGTTAGACTCCTCTTTATCATGTCTGGAGCTCAGTCTAGCCACTAAGACGCCATGCATAGGAAAGAAGCTTGGAACATGTGGCCTGCTTTGAGTCTGTTTGTTTTTGCATTTGGGCAGACTGTCTGGAAACCAACACCAAGGTGGCATCAGGATGTTTTTTTGTTCTTGCGCATGTTATGTAAAACCTACAAAACACATCCTCTGGCAGGCTTGGCTTGGGCTTGTGTATTCTGAAACTTAGAGGTAAATCTAGCTGAGAAGAGGTTTGTGGAGAGTGTATTATTATTAGTAAATATTTATTTATGTATGTATTTATTTAGCAGTTCAGTCCACTCTGTGGCCTGTTGCATGAAGCTAGTTGAACAAACTCTGAGTTTCAGAGTAGTTGACAAAACCAAACAAATCCAACCTGGTTTAGATCAGGTTCAGTGGGCTCACAAAGCTCGATATAAATATTCTCTGTCAACTACGTTTGATCCAGAGTTTGTGATTAACTCTAGGGCACGTGTACCTGAAAGTGTGACACGTGCAGTAAAACAGCCAATCACACGGAATAGAGAAAGCATCGGTTTGATTCACTTCTCACAATAATAGCCGACTATATCCAAAATCAGCTGTTGTGAGCAGTAAAATGATTCACTCCTTACCTTGAGTTGGCGATTTCGGCCTTCTGTTTGGCTATGGCAGCTGCTCTCTGGGCTCCTTCCACACTGCGCTCCACTTTCTGCTTGATCTTAGTACCCTTTAGCTGAATTACCTTCTTCTTTACAGACTTCACCAGCATGTTGTTAATGTACTTGCCTTCTTCTTTGCCACCTTCTGCAAAAGTGGTGCACCCATAACCGTGCCGTTGGTTGTTCAGCCATTCGCCCTCATATTTAAGTCCACTAGAACGTTCACTGATCCCATAACCCGAGCGCTTGTCGTTTTTCCACTCTCCTATGTAGACTTCAGTGGTAGTGGCGTCAATGTCCGACTCCACCGGGGGAAACTCGTGACCTTCCCCTTCCCCTTCGCTCTCACCCAGGCTGATGGTGGAGTTGGCATCGCTGGCGGCGGAGCTGAGAGCTGACTCACTCCGCAAAAAGCTGATCTTGCTCTTATTGCTGGAGAGGGACGTGCGGGAATCTGACTTCTTCAACTTGCCAAGAAGCGAGCCGCGCCGGAAGAGGCCTTTCTTCTTGGCCTTGACCGCATCTGGGTCCACTTGCAGGGTGAGGGCGAAACCACCACGAGATGGGCCCAGAGGCATGGGCGCGTTGACCAGGGTCTCCTGGCCGGATGCATTGGTGGCAGTGATGACTGGGATGTCCTGCTGCAGGAGTGTCCCATTGCTGTGTTCACTTCGCAGGGAGCTCAGAGAGTTTCTCAGAGGAGAACGCACCACCGCTGCCATGCCATAGGGAACACTCTGACGTACTCCATAGCCATGTCGCATGCCGCTAGTGAACTGGCCCTGAAAGGTACCTATATTGGCAAAGACATCAGTCAGAGAATGTTAAAAGGATAATTCACCCAAAAATACAAGTTTTGTCATTCCAAACCTGTATGATTACTTTCTTCAGTGGAACACAAAAGAAGATTTTTTTTTAAAGAATATACAATGTAAATACAATGTTTAATGGTTTTTTTTTTTAAATCTTTCAGCATTATTACAGATTCTTAAAGTATTTTTCTTGTCATTTAAATACACTGAATCATTTTGCTGTTACAATGAAACCCCAGTACTAAACAGACCACTAATTTAAAGGAATAGGTCACAAAAATAGTTCAAGTTCAAGTTCAGTTTTATTTCTAGAGCACATTTAAGCACGAAACAAGGCCGACCAAAGTGCTGCACAACATACAATAATATATAACAAGGAGAAAATCAGTAAACAAATAAAAACAATTCAAAATCCATACAACAACAAAAGCAGATTAAAACAATTCAAAGGCACATATTACTACATGTTAAAAGCCAGAGAGAAAAGATGTGTTTTAAGATATGACTTTCTGATGTGAACTGGTAAGATGTTCCAGCCTGTTCACCCTAGAATTAAGCCCCGTTTACACCAAGAACGATAACTATAAAGATAACGATATTAGCGTCCACACCAGCGAACAATATCGTCTGTTTATTCTAAGCACACATGTGTCTGCCGCTTTAAATTCTTGAGCTCGTTACAGCAGGATGGATTCTGATTGGCTGTCAATCTTTTTTTATTGTTCATCAGCTGGAGAAAAATTGTTTTGAAAGTGATTCTAACGATATTGTTTCTCTTTGTCTTTATCGTTATAGTTGTGGTGTGGACTCTGCTATTCTTTAATACTGAGAACGATTTTTAGAACTATATCTTTATCGTTATCTTTATAGTTATCGTTCTTAACAGCTGAACGTCTCAATAATCCACAGGTTATCCACATGTCTCCAGTCCATCAGTTTACTTCTTTTGGAGTGCAAAGCTGCATGTTCATGAGAAATAAATAAACAAAGGCATTTTAACTTTAAACAGTTGCTTCCGGCCATCTATCCACATTTCTTTCTCCAGTGAAAAATCTGTCTTGTCTGAATCAGGAGAGAAATATGCACACACCAAGCACTGTTTGGAAGCAAAAATGATCCTAAACTGTTCTAAACTAAAATGTTGGTGCATTTTCACTGGACTTTTTGACTGTAGGAAGTATTGTTGCAGATTATGGATTTACTTGTGGATTATTGTGATGTTTTTATCAGCTGTTTGAACTCTTATTCTGACGGTACCCATTCACTGCACAGGATCCATTGGTGAACAAGTGATGTAATGCTACATTTGTAATGCATGAAATGAAACGCATACATCTGTGGCCTGAAGGGGAGAAAATTTTCAGCAAATTTTCATTGTTGGGTGAACTATTCCGTTAAACAAAAAATAAATCAATATTTAAAATATACACCTTATAATCTAAAATGTAATATCTCATATTAGAAGGCTGAATTCTAAAATCCACAATCAAAATGATACAATATTGTATATATTATACAATTAAACAAAGATTATTGGAGTATGTTTTTACAGGAACATACTACTTCAGCCATTTCTGAGTGAAAATAGTTTCAAAGTAAATCCTACAACATTTTTATTTCAGTTTTTATTTTTCAGCTTTATTTCAGAAAATCAGTGGAGTCCATGTTGTTTTGGACCTCGCTGACTTTCGTTGTATAAACTAAAGCAATTAAAACATTCTTTAAAACATTTTAGTGTTCTATAGAAGTCATAAAGGTTTGGAGAGACAGGAGAGTGAAAAACGGCCTATTCACAAAAAGAAAGACGACTATATGGTAACTAATTATGATAACAATATTGGCGTCCACACCAATGCACAATAATGTTCTATTTATTTTAAGCATGTGCAGCAGTTTTGTAGTTTGCCGCTTTATTTAAAAATTCATGTTATCCCAACGATATTGTTCCTTTGTGTCTTTATCGTTATAATTTTGGTGTGGACTTCCCTATCCTCATAGAATTAAACCAATTATTTATCAGCATTGTGACAGTTATCGTTCTTGGTGTGAACGAGCCTTCAATGATGACAGAATTATCATCCCTTCAACTAAACTACAGATTGCATTACAACACTGCATTTTATTCAAATTCAGGCCACCCGTAAGCTCATTGTCACTTCAGGCATGTGAAACAATGGTATTTACTGCGGTACAACTGCTAGCGAGCCGCCTCTTTCATATCAACCTCTGGGGTAAGAAACCACGTGCAGTTATTTATGTCATGGTGCTTGTGGGTCTGGTTCGGTCATGCAACACATGTCTAAGATCCATCAGTCCTCAGGGACGGGCCGGTCAGAAGGGCGCAGGCATGGCTATTATCGTGCCTCTATTCACACAGTGCTGTACTAGCACTTAACATTGCTAATAGTGATGACTCAGCTGCCAGCTCAATAGATACAGTATACAGGAAGACACCTATATCATAATTAGTGTAATTGCATCCTACTCTATCAAAAAAAACGTGAATCCAAAATGTATTCGGACTCCTCAGGCCTGTTCACACCAAGGAAGATAACTGTAACAATAACGATAAAGATATCGCTTTAAAAGTCGTTCTAAATTTCGAATAATAGTAGAGTCCATAACTATAACAACAAAGAGATATACAATTACATAGTTGGAATCACTTTCAAAATGATACTTTTTCCAGCTGATGAACGAAAAAAGCATTGACAGCCAATCAGAATCCATTCAGCTTGAGAAAACTCTAGTTTAACAGAATGTTATTGTGCCTTGGTGTGAACACTAATATAGTTATTGTTATTTTTATAGTTATCATTCCTGATGTGTACAGGCCTTTTAGTTGTGTTTAGAAATTTATGAATTTTATTACAATAGATAACAAAATTACACCAAATTTAAATCACAGTTTGGGCCATATTTGCATATACTTTTAACCAGCTAGTTGGTGGTGGTTTTTAGCGGATGAAGTCGGTTAACATGATGGAAGAACACCTGCAGAAAGCTATGAATATGTTTCATCAATGTTTGATAAGCACAAAGTGTTTAGGTATTGTATTTCTTTTGTCCTAATAATTAATATAATCTTATATTGTGTGATCTAATAAACATTATTTTCTTAAATGTTTTGCTGTAACGATGCCATTGTGCCGCTTGGTTTGATATTTTGCTATTTAATGCAATGGCATCCATACATTGTTAAGAGTGGCATAAACATGCAAATGATTTTTGCGGCCACTGTGCACACGCAAAAGGTCTATAAATCTAAATAATGACAAAAATGCCGATACTATGCAGATAAAGCCAGAAAAGGATACTATGTAGTGGTCTGAAGTGACAATTTAAGTGACAAATTAAGAGAAAGGAAAGTCAGGAAGTTGCCTTAAATTTGGACATAAAAGCCTAACGTGACCCAACAAAAGAAAAACGACTTGGCCACCATTGAATGAGCCTTTTTAGTTGTACTCACACCACACGCCCAGAAAGAACAGGATTTGTGACACTGATTTGTAACCACCCTCCATTCTGCTCTGGCAAATGTTTCTTAGCAATAGGCATTTACCCAAAAGGCCATCTGTGGCAACACCAGGGTTCCATGATTGTAAGCTTCAAGTTAATACTACTATCATGAATGACTGTTCATCTCATTTTAATTAATTTTTGAGATTGTCAAAGATAGGAATCTTTTAGCCATGTGTTAAAGAATACCAATATAATGTTTATGTAGGTAAAGTTGGAACTTACTTTTAGATTGCAGTACTGTATGTAGCCTGTATATGAACTGTAGCCTATATGAACATGTTAAGTCATATGATCTTTTTAAAACAAAATAGAAAAAAAAGAGACGTCTGGATATCTCTTGCTGAATTAAACACAGTGAAAAGGTCATGTGTCTATGTAGCATAGCCTACTACTATGAAATATTTATTATGGTATAATGTCCACAGTTTCACTTACTCAACAACAACAACAAAAACCATATATAGCCCCACCCCTTTTCAGCACTGCACTGGTTGTCTTCTGAGTTCCGGTTTGTATATTCACTGCATGATGGTAAGGTCTTACGAATTTATGAATTAACTGCTCGTTTTAAAGTCTTTACAGTCTACTGGCATCCACTTTGAACATTACAATGCACATAACTTTCGCTAACTCTACAATAACTAAATCCACTTTGCCAGCTAATTACTACAGAAATACAGAGCTACTGCAAAAACGGAAGTTCAAAGACAAAATTCTAAAGATGGCTGCGCACTTGCTTCTCTGATGCATGAGGTTTATACAGTGTACACTGTGTAGTATTTAGGGGTCTGCGATAATGACAAAATCTCTATATTTTCTGGAATTTTGTTGGAAAAACGATAATTAGACTATATTTTGCAGAGTTTGTGTATTGTGCTGGTACTTTGGCAGGTTTAGAACTGCCGTGGACCGCTGACTCCCAAAGCTTTTGATATTCTTCATATTCTGTGCAATGATTAGTTTGCAGGAGTAACAGAAATGAACTTTTCCAATAAGTTTAAATTGATGTTTACCTTTCATGGGCATTTTTACCTTTTATAAGGCCATTTTTTCCCCTAATCTGATTAAATGTCTGCATCATCTTTTGTGTCAAATTCTTAAATTTATCAATAAATTCAAATAGTAAGACATTATAGGGCTGGCAAATAAAATCAGTATCAACAAAATTTGTGTTTACAATGCAGAGGTGACACAGAATCTGCATCTGAAGTGGCATTTAGATGCATTCACACAGACTGTTTAATGCAAGACATGAATGCAGTTAACCTGTAATGTTTTGATATTTAAAAAAAACGTTGAATACTGATATGATTTTTTTCTGGGAAAAAAGGGAAAATATACTTTGAATATTAAACCTAAAATTGCCAGTAGGCGGCAGCAAATCACTACATGAGTGAGTCATTCATTCATCCAATTCGTTCAAACTGCTGATTGATTCAGTAATGCAAGACACTGTCATGTGTTACTCAGAGAGGCAAAACAGTTCTGCTGTGGCTTGTTTTGAAATGTTCGTTGTCAAAATACTGCAAAAAGAAGTGTCTCCATCACTTAATACTAATTTATTGAACTGTTCATCAAATCAATTTCACATTTGCAATCGTGCTGATATTTGGAGAAAAAACGTGTGACATTAACAATATCAGATGATATAAATATAAAAGACATAAAAGTTATACAGGGGCATTTTTGCCCCCTTATCTTGAACTTTGGGGGAAATGTAGGATAAATGTATCATGCAGTGAAAGCCTGGACTCTAAAATGTATGTGCTTGCTCAGTAGTCTAACATAGGCCTACATCACATACTGTAGGCTGTGCGTGCACTCTCTGGGTGTATTTTTGTGTGGTTTTTGCAATATACTCGATAGTGTCATATCGTATAAACAACAATTACGATATTATCCTAGACGATATATATCGCACACCCCTTTAGCACGGTATTCAATAAACGGCGATCTACTATTCAATTCTAAACACAGGCACTGTGCTGCACTTTTCAGTGGTAACACAACGCGAGTACGCGATCGATGTAGTCCGATACCGGAACAAACGAGTCTCATTCTTGGTTATTTTTAGTGAATCAAAAACAGTGCGACAGGTGTAGTTCGTTTGCGGGACGAAAATATGAGCCGGTTCTTTTTAGTGAATCAAAATCACTTATTAATCACTCCGAGTGTTAATTAATAAGTTTAAGATAATCAATTTTCCTTGCTTTCCTTTCATTCAGTGGTGTGTTTATTTTTAATGAATGAAACATTATTTTAGTTTATAGAATGACTGATTATTGCATTAGAATTATTTCTTATATGTAGCCTAATATGTGTTCTGTTTACATCTGAAACGATCTCATTTTTCTAACCTAGCAACGGAGCGAGGGGTGAATGCAAATAAGGAGGACATTTTTCCTTTTAGGATTTTGAGGACGCGTTAAGGAGAATCGGAAGCGGAATCGTTGAACCCCTCATCCCTAGGTGTAAGTGTTGCGCTACATAACCCCTGGTCTTAAAATGTCAGTTCACAGACTGCAGTTTGCGCACACAAAATTTCATTCTTCGACCTTACCGCCATCCGCATAGGTCTCCGTGCCGTAACCATCCTGCAGTCCGTTATTCCAAGTGCCCTCGTACCTGGCACCGCTGGCCTGACTGATGCGCGTCCCGTATCTGCCTTTGAATCCGTGCGTCCACTCTCCCTTGTAGATCCAGTGTCCCTTGGTCTCCAAACCTAGACCGTGACGCTTTCCTTGGCACCAATACCCCTCGTAAGTGTTTCCACTCGGCCAGGTATACACTCCCACCACCTCAAACCCATAATTCCAGGAACCGGAGAACTCTCCTTGTCCTTTAGGTCCGGTACAGATCCCGTGCCCGTGCGCTTTACCTCCTTCCCAGCCTCCACAATACGCTCCGCCATCATCGAACTCAAAGCGACCTCCGCTCATCACGCTGAATGCAATTACCACTAACTTATCAAACTTTCAGATGTGACTTATTGTGACAACAATAGCGAACGGCTCAATCTCTGTCAGGCGCTGTTAAATCCATCTGTCAAACTCCACAGATGCGTAAAATGGAGATAGGAGATCCTTTCCTTGACTTGAACTTCTAGAATTGTCGTATACGCGCATAATTTGCTGATAAAGGCAAATCCTTAAATATGTAAAAAAGGAAATAAACGTGCTAAAGTATGAAGTTGAAATGACTTGGGAAAGGGAGGATTGCTTTTTAAGTTAGGCTACATGATATTGTTTCAGTTTACAATGATATTTTTAATCGAATTGTCGAGCCAGTGGTCTTTCGTGGTTTGCAATCCCTCTCCCCTCTCCCTGCCTCCCCTCTTTGCACTTGGCGCTCCTGGATATGTTTTAGCAGTCCCAACAAGGCTACCAGATCCCAACACTGTTCCAAAAATACAGGCCAATCGCCCCTCAGCAGCCAGGCACTTTTAAAAGCGCTGCAAGATCACTTGCAGAATAGGGTTTGGGCTCAATGTCCATATCAGGGGTCGGCGGAGTCCGTGTCTGTTATTTAAAGTGTGCATTTTCAAACTTAGATACTTGAAACTGTTGATGCAGTTGCTTCCCTTTGATTTATATATTTTTTACAAGGTGCACTGGTTTACAAACGTTTTGAGAGTAGGCTAATAAAGACAGGAATAAACTGAAAGAGAGAAAATGTTAATGTATCACACCGGCTAACGCCTCATACAGTAAACAGATCATCCTTGGGCCAAGTAATCATTAGAATTTGACCTTTTGGGTTTTGAGGAGTTCAGCTAAGTTTAGTAGAGTGACATCAGTCTAATAATGCAATAAAAAAATATAAATATAATGTTACATCTAAATTCATTTTATGTTATTCTGACTATCTGTGCTCCATTTTTATTTCTTTAATTAACCTTATAAGTTAAAAAAAAAATTTTTTTTTAGTAGGCTGCTTATGAAAAAATATAGCCTATATGTTAACTGGTATGATATTAAAGCTTTGTTGACGCTGACTCTATAAATAAATAAAAGTCTAGACACAGAACTTATTTCAAGCGGAAGGGAAATGAACCGTTTCCCAAAGAATCTGGTTTCTCTCTGGTAAAATGAACCCGTAGTCTTGCGCCTTCAGTTGAGTGATTGTTGAACCGAGGCTAGCTTGCACTCGCTGGATCATTATCCATGCTGATAATGCTGACAGAGAAATCTGTATTAACTGCGCTTGAACTCACAGCAGAGAAATATGCGTGGAGAGAAGCAGCGCCCTCTGCTGGTTGCTGTGTGGTATTGCGGTGACCAGCTGTAGTTACAGCGATATTCAATCCTACTAAGCCATTATTAAATAGAACAAACCATATCGATTGAGACAAGTGTTTCATAGTCGGTTTGTTTTGACTCTTTAATGCATTTATTGTGTCTTATTATTAATGTTTATTAAAATACATTAAAAAGCCACCCATACAGAAAAATACTCAAAGACACCTCTTATGTTATGGCATGTTTCAATTTGTTGTATTATTTGTAATTATTTAAAGTAAAAAGTATAGATGTAACCATCCAGAGATTATACTGTAATAAAGGGGGGAAAAACATACAGACAATTACTTGAATACACTTCTTCTGTGATGGGCATGTTTTAATTTTCTGTATAATATTTAAATGTCTAGATGGTGTAAGCATCCAGAAATTATATAAATAAAAAAATAACAATAAAAAGCTTTTTTGTATTAAAAATAAATTAAAATGTATATACATATATATTCATATACCATACATACATATATATACAGTATATATATTGTAATAAAGAAAAAAAAAATGTTTGTGTTAAAAATACATTAAAAAGTTATTCATACAGACAATTATTTGAATACACCTCTCCTGTGAAGGGCATGTTTCAATTTTTTATAGGCTATTATTTGTAATTATTTAAAATAAAAAAATATGTCTAGATGATGTAACCATCCAGAGATATCTATATATATTTACATAATATATATTATTTATTTATTTACTTGTTTGATTGTTGATATTTTGTTAGCCACATCCATGTGGTGAAACCAACATGCATCCGTTTTGTCGTAAATTGACAAAATAAATAAATACATACATAGATACATACATACATAAAAGATATCACAAAAACATTGACTGTGGCATGAACTTTTATTTTATTTGTTTATTTTTGGAAATAATTATCAATAATTGTGTATTTAAGGTATACATTTTTTTGCTAGTTTTTACTTTTAGACATTTTGGAGCCAATGAATCAACACTATTTATAGAAAATAGTCAACTTTTTTTTTTTCTCTTCAAAAATTTGTACAACCAAAATGATAACAAATGGGACATTTATGCCTTTTTAACTAGATATCCTTTCCATCTTTTCTGAAATCTGTATTTTGCATGCACCCTTCTACACTAGGGCTGTCAAAATGGCTGAAAAACTAAATTCGAATTTTGTACTTAAATATGATCAAAATTCGAATTATATTCGGATGTAAAATGCATAATTTCAGTTCTGTCAGGACCACTATCGAGAGCAGGGTTAACAGAACCGAACAAGGCAGATATCATTAATGTACTTAATGATATTTAAGTGTAACACTTTATTCAAGATAAAGGAGTCTGATTAGCAAGGAATATCAGAAAGCCAAGTCCTGACTGTGGCGAAAGGAGGAGCTGGGGATGGAGAAGGGTAATTTGCTCCGGAGCAAGCTGAAAAGCTGCTGAATAAGACTGAATAGAGCTTATATAGGAATGCCGCGATAGATGTCATATTCCTATAGGTAGATGTGATCAGCTGAGAATCAGCTGATGCAAGCTTGACTCACGTGACCTGCCAGAACTAACCCTAACGCTTTATTTAGGCTGAAGAAAAGCTTTTGGCTTCTCTCCTGAGGTCACAAGAGGGTGCATCATTCAAAGCATAAGATAACATGACTATCTGCGAAAAAAGTGCATGTTTAAAATAATGTTTATAAACCAATTATAATTAAGTTGCTTAAACAGCTATAAACAAAACAGCATCATGTATGTATGCATAGTTTAATACAAAGGGGCGGAAAGCCAATCACACAGAGTACATTTTTCATTTAAAAACATGAGATGCAGTGGGATGGGGAAAACCCCGCCATAAAGTCTCACTATATGTTTTTTTTCAAAGTTAAACTTGCATTCATTTTTTCATGGCTTTCTAAACATGCGGCTCTTTTGTGCGAGACGCGAGTGCAGCAGTAATAGATGTCCGTCTAGAAATGAAATATGCGTTCTGTGTGAACGGCTTGGTTTCGGTTTTTATGTAAAGATCTTCTCCGCTTTGATGTTCTCTTTTTCCGCTATATTTTTAATATTTTCAACTGGATAGGCTAACAAAAACATTATAATGCAACGACACTTACATCTTCATCGCATCTCGTGCGCCGCTGATAAGGCTTGCTCTTTAACGCACACCTCATTTTTTATTTTAAATTCGACGAATATTCGAAATGCGATTTTTTTTTTTGACAGCCCTATTCTACACATTTATCGTGGACAACCAGAGTACAGCAGCGGCTCGAAAGTGAGGCTGCCGACGGCGTGTCGATGATGCCCCTGTTCGTGGTGCTGAAATACCCCTCTCCCTCCCTCCCTCTCTCTCTCTCTCTCTCTGCTCCTCTCTCACACGCACGAAATCCTCTGTCATGGCGTCTTCCAACAATGTTACTCCCACCAACTGTAGCTGGTGGCCCATATCAGCTATGGATGAAGATGGCAAAATCACAGACGGAGAGGAGAGTCACGAGCCCACGATAGAACACAAGCCATTCTCCAAAGACAGGCTCGTTCTGTATCACTGGACTCAGTCCTTCAGCTCTCAAAAGGTAAGAAAAACACAGCATGAAAATGGTGGGTGAATCTATAGCTACTATGCAGTGGGACAAATAATGTCAGTCACATAATATAGCGCTTTCTCTGGATGGATGCGTGTTTAATTGGCCTTACCTGTCTGTTCTGTTGCGTCCTTTATGAAGACATTACGAACCCTCAGGAGAAGATTGAACATTTTGAGTTGACTAACGTTAGCTTCAAGTCCACTGCAGCCCAACATCATCGATCACTTTTATGCATAGTGTCTATGAGATGGATTTGGGAGCAAATAAATAGCTGTTTATAACGGGTATAAGGCTATCATTGTAGAGTTGTGTGTTGCTTTGCTCTGGAGGATGATGGCACTCTAAATTATTCATTAAAATAAGGTAGCTTTGTGAAAAACAAACGGTGATTTCGTATTCTGCTGTCAATTGCTTCGTGCACATTTCAGCCAGTGTCACTCCACGAAAAAAATGCCTTTTGTGTACCTCATGAATGTGTAAATAATGACTTTAATAATTAATACTGACACCAACTTTTACTATGTGTTATTATATCAGATAATCAGATATATTTCAGCGTTAATGTAAGTTTTGAATGGCCATATATATATTATGTATATATATATATATATATTCTTAACAGCTGGCCATTCAAAACTTACATTAACGCTGAAATTGATACAGAGTTGACAAAAACACTGATTCTTTTGTATATTATATTATCAGCAAAGTATATTATTGAAGAAAAATAAATATATATATATATATATATATATATGACAAATAAATACAATATATATTTCACACATTTACATAAACACACACTATTATTATATATATATATAAGCATATATGTGTGTGTGTGTGTGTGTGTGTGTGTGTGTGTTAGTTTGTCTAAGAAATACCTTGTAGTGTCATGACCTTGAGCACAAGGCTAGTAATGGCTAAATATGACAGTCAACCATCGCAATATTTCAGCGTATAGTAAAAATATTAAATATAGCGCGAGATGGCACAATGCAGTTTGTTAAAACTTAAAGACATTCAATGTCTGATCAAATGTTCTAATATGAAACTTATTGTAAAAATCATTGATTCATAATGGAAAAGGCCTCATTATTTGGTGGAATGACCTACCAGGTGTCGGGCTCTTGTTTGTTGTGCGAGAGATGTTTCTCTCCACAGTCAGTCTTCTGCTGGTGTTTACATGATTTGAATGAATGTCACGTGTTACCTAAGCTAAACCTGACTCCTCACAGCAATATTAAATTGACCAAAACATTGGTGAGGCTCAGATAGCAAAGTGATTCATTTTGCTGATTACAGTAGTTACAGACTTGCATGGAAAGCCGAGCAAAAAATCAATGACCTGCCAAAATCATCTCCTATTTACTAACCAGCAGACTGAGAAATACAGTTAAACATGGCAAAGCTTGACACCATTGAGTGTGTTTTCTCTCGAAGGCTCCAGAGAAATTAGATTTTGATTGTTTTTATAGAAATATTAATTGG